CAGGCAGTGATGTCCATCCCCAGGGCTGCTCCAGGCAGTGATGTCCATCTCCAGGGCTGCTCCAGGCAGTGATGTCCATCCCCAGATCTGCTCCAGGCAGTGATGTCCATCCCCAGGGCTGCTCCAGGCAGTGATGTCCATCCCCAGGGCTGCTCCAGGCAGTGATGTCCATCCCCAGGGCTGCTCCCTGGGCAGCTCTGCATCCCCCAGGGACTCCTGGATCCCCCAGGGACTCCTGGATCCCCCAGAGCTGTGGCTGTCACTGCAGTGTCCCCTGGCTGGTGGCTGCAGAGGGACAGGGAGCCTGTGCTGAACCAGCCCCAGGATGCTGGTGCTGAACCTTCCCCTTCTCTTCTCCTCCTAGATGGCTCCAAAGGCATTAAATCCATCCGGCAGAAGCTGGAGAGCTTCTCCAAGGAGAGGAAAGGTGAGCAGCCTCCCTTTTACCTGTCCTTTGGTCCCTGGGTGAGTTTTGCTGGGGTGGGTGGGAGGTGCCCAAGCCCAGCAGGACGCCTCATCCCAGGTTGTTCTGCTGTTTTTGGGATGGCACGGTGATGGAGCCTGGAAAGGTGTGTGGAATACCTGGAAAGTGAAATGCATTTTCAAGGTGAACACCTGGAAATGTGTCCAGCTGCCCGTTTTTCCCCAACCCCGCTGCTCCCAGTTGTGTTTTATCGTCCCTTGGAGCACCTCAGTGCCAGCCCTGGGGCACACAGAGCCCTGGAGCAGAGCCAGGTGGGAATGAGCCCCCCCACACCAGCACAAAACCCGCTCAGGGACACTCCTGACATCAATGCCTCAGGTTCTACTGAAAGGGTTTGTGGTAAAACCCCAGGGCAGTGCAAGGCTGGGGGTGAGGAGAGCCCTCCTTGCCAGGGGGATGGAGAGGGGCAGTTATCTGGGGAAAATACCACTAAGGGCAGGACTTTTCTTGAGCAGACGAAGCTGAGGCAAACCCTGTAGAAAATGGGAGGTTAGAACTCGGGGAGGATCTTTTGGTGATTTTTGAAGCTGTTGCTTCACAGATGCCACGGCATCTTCGTGGGGCTGCAGCCAGTCAAAGGAAGGAAAGAAACTGCAGGAAAAACTGGGACAGGCTCCAACAAGCTGCAGGAGAGCAGTCCCCTGTGTCCCCTTCCTCTCCCCCAGCAGCACCCCATTTCCCTCACCGGGCTCTTTGGCACCCAGGCTCCCAGCACACCTCTCCTGCTCTCCAGGAGCAGCTCCCTGTGCCTTTCCTGGCTCCTGGGGGCAGGAACCCGAGCACAGCAGCTCCCCCAGCCTGTCCCTGGCTCCGGTGTCTCCCCAGACTGCTCTCCCCACACCTTCGGGGTGCCGCTGTGCCAGGTCATCGCCCACGACCGCGCGTGCCGCCAGCTGCAGGAGGCCGTGGGCAGGAGCCGCCGGCTGTGCCTGCAGGTGGAGGCCACGGTGACGAGGTTCCGCGCTCAGAGGCACAAGAGGATGGGGATGGGCAGCAGCTGCATCCGAGCTCCCCACGGCGGCTTCCCCGAGGAGCCGCTCTCCCCGGCGGCTCTCCTGGACAAGAGCTCCTGGAGCCAGCGCAGGGTATGGGCCCCAGACTGGGCTGGGGCGGTGCTGTGGGATGGGGAAGTGGGGATTCAGCAATAAATGGGATTTTCCAGGGTGTTTTCTTGTGGCTGGGTCGGTCCCGGTCTGTCCTCAGGGAAATGGTGATGTCCCCACGGATGGTGAGGAGTGGGAGCATCCTCAGCAGGGTGACATTTAAGGGTCCAGAGGGCAGGGCTGGATGGGATATGGGGCAGGAATTGTTCCCCATGAGGGTGGGAAAGGCCTGGCACAGGTGCCCAGAGCAGCTGGGGCTGCCCCTGGATCCCTGGCAGTGCCCAGGGTTGGACACTGGGGCTGGGAGCAGTTTGGGGCAGTGTGAGGTGTCCCTGCCATGGCTGGGGTGGCTCTGGGCGCTGCCCTGTCCCAGAAAGCCGTGAGTGATGGATCTGTGGGGTCGTTCCTGGCACCTGCAAACTCCCTCTGCCCCACGGCAGGGGGCCATGTCCGTGGATTCCATCACGGACCTGAGTGACAACGCGTCCGAGCTGCTGGAGGCCCTGCAGCTCTCACACCCCCACGAGCTGGACCCTCGCAGGAGCCGCGCCAAGAAGAAGCAGCTGAGCCTGAACCCCATCACCTGGCAGGTGCCACGGATCGTGGACAGGTGCTGCACACACCTGGAGACGCACGGTAAGGGCTGGAAAAGCTCCCAGGACATCCCCAAGGCTCCCTGGCCACCCCAAGGTGGGAGGAGGCACCCTTGGGTTTAACGGAACCGTGGGACTCACCAAAGGTTGGACTCAATGCTCTTGGAGCTGTTTCCCAACCCGAACGATTCTGTGAGTCCTGGGGCAGGGCAGCTCCCAAAAAACCTCCGTGGAGAGTGCTCTGGCTTGGATGCAGCACCAGAGGGGAATGTGAGTGAGGAGGGAATGTGAGTGAGGAGGGAATGTGAGTGAGGAGGGAATGTGAGTGAGGAGGGAATGTGAGTGAGGAGGGAATGTGAGTGAGGAGGGAATGTGAGTGAGGAGGGAATGTGAGTGAGGAGGGAATGTGAGTGAGGAGGGAATGTGAGTGAGGAGGGAATGTGAGTGAGGAGGGAATGTGAGTGAGGAGGGAATGTGAGTGAGGAGGGAATGTGAGTGAGGAGGGAATGTGAGTGAGGAGGGAATGTGAGTGAGGAGGGAATGTGAGTGAGGAGGGAATGTGAGTGAGGAGGGAATGTGAGTGAGGAGGGAATGTGAGTGAGGAGGGAATGTGAGGGAGTTGGGAATGTCAGTGACTTGGGAATGTCACCGAGGAGGGAATGTCCACAGCCTTTCCTTTTCCTCCTGCCTGGAGAAGGGCCAGGCAAGCAGGAGAAGCCCTGGCAGGGGAGGCAGGGAGCCGTGGGCATTGCCAGCACTGACCTGTCTGTCCCGCAGGGCTCCAAACCGTCGGCATCTTCCGCGTTGGGAGCTCCAGGAAAAGAGTCCAGCAGGTAAAGGGGGACATTCCCTGCAGCCTCTGGCTGAGCCTTGCCGGGGCTGGTGTTGGTGGGGATGGCTAGAGCTGACATTGGTGTGGAGAGGTCTCTTCAGACTCAAACTGACTGTGGTTTTCATCCTTCCCCTTGCTTCCATCTCCAAGCTGAGGGAGGAGTTCGATCAAGGGCTGGATGTTTTCTTGGATGAGCATCAGAGTGTTCATGATGTGGCTGCCCTGCTCAAGGAGTTTCTCCGGGATATGCCCGATTCCCTGATTCCCAGAGAGCTCTATGGAGCCTTCCTGAGCACAGCCAGTGAGCACCTGTGGGGCAGAGCCTGCACAGCAGGGCTTGTGCTGGGGCACCCCAGATCCCCCGGGCACCTCTCACCTGGGCAGGCTGGGATGTGACATTCAGGGCTGGCCAGCCTGCCTTGGGACACTGCCAGGAATGGGGCCTTCCTCAGCACCCTCCAGAGCCCCTGGGGAGGGATGGGATCCATGGGATCCACGGGATGGGATAATGGGATGGGATGGGATGGGATCCATGGGATGGGATGGGATGGGATCCATGGGATGGGATGGGATGGGATGGGATCCATGGGATGGGATGGGATCCATGGGATGGGATGATGGGATGGGATGGGATGGGATCCATGGGATGGGATGGGATGGGATCCATGGGATGGGATGGGATGGGATCCATGGGATGGGATGGGATGGGATCCAAGGGATGGGATGGGATGGGATCCAAGGGATGGGATCCAAGGGATGGGATGGGATGGGTGTTGTGCTCCCTGGCGCTGCCACGTGCAGTTACCATAATCTGGGGTTTTTCTGGGGGTTTTGTCTGATTTCTTTGGAACTGGATTACAAAAATCCCTCTGGTCCAGGACAGTTTTTGGCAGTGGGGCTGTGCAATATCCAGTACTCTCGTGGGGCTCTCCATCCCTTGGGATGAGGGGTGGGGCAGCAGCCTGGCTGCCAGCAGAGCTCGTTCCCAAGGGGGGGGAGGAGGAGGAGGAGGAGTCCCAGCTGTGCTGTCCATGCAGGCATGGAGGGGCCAGCCCAGCTGGACACCCTGCAGCTGCTGCTGTTCCTGCTGCCCCCGTGCCACAGCGACACCCTGCTCCGGCTCCTGCGCTTCCTGGCCCGGGTGGCCCAGCACGCCCAGAGCTCCTGGGACCCCGAGGGCCGCGAGGTGAGGCTGCTGCAGAGGGGAGAACAAATCCTCGGGCTTCGGGGAAAACCAAATCCTTCAGGGAATCCCGGGATCGTTGTGGCTGGAAAAGGCGGGAGGGTGAGGCAGGTGGGGATGGGATGAGTGTGCGGCTCCAGCACCTCAAACCCTTCGTGCTGGCCCTGCCACCAGCTCAGAGAGGACCAAACTGGACCAGGAGCAACATCTGGCCCTCACCTCGCCCTCATGGGTGGCTGAGGACATCCTGGGACATCCCACGCCGCCACATCCACAGCCCACAGGTTCCTTTTGTGCCTCCTTGCAGATCCCTGGGAATAAAATGACAGTGTCAAACCTGGCTACGGTCTTTGGTCCCAACATCCTGCAGAAGGAGAAGCCTGGAGAGAAAGATGCCGGTGCCCTGAACTTTGAGGACAGTGCTGCCATAATCCTGGTGCTCCAGAGGCTGATCGAGCACCACCACTCCCTGTTCATGGTACGTGGGCTCCTCAGGGCAGCTCCCCCACACCCTCCTTCCCTCTGAACTCTTCCGAGAGCAGCAGGGGAAGGATTTTGTCCCTGTCAGAGGTGCACACCTCGGTCTGTGCCCATCCTCTGGGAAGGCTCTGGCTCCATCCTCTCTCCACCCTCCCACTGCAGGCAGCAGTGACAGTCCCCTCGGGATGCGACATTTCAGGTCCCCAAAACAAAAACTTACAGCAATTTTTGGGGTCTGCAGGGAGCAAAGGACTGGAGATAGTGGGGGGAAAGCAGGGGCTGAGATCCTGCAGACCCTGGGAGGTGTGTGGGGTGTGACACCAGCACACCGGGTCTGTGACCATGTCCTGGCTCCTTCCTCGGCTCTCGGTGCTCAGCCTGAGCCGGGCGAGTGAGGCGGCCGTGTCCCCCCAGGTGTCCCCAGAGATGCAGTGTGACGTGCTGAGGAGGCTGTTCCAGACAGACCCCGATGTCATCGAGTACCTGCTGCGCAGGAAGTTCCCTGACCTGCCGTGAGTGCCCCAGGGGCTCCGAGGGGCGCAGGGACGGGTGGCAGCACACCCTGCTCATCTTCCACACAGCTCCCTGCTCACGGGATCCACAGAAAAACCCTCCACGCTCCATCCTTCCCACCCCTCGGAGCTCCCTCGGAGGCTGGAGCTGCAGCTCGGGCCCTTCCCTGCCTGGAAGGGCCTCGTGTCCCCTGAGCTGGGTCCAGCACACACTGCAGGAGGGGTTTGCTCCCTGGGGCTGGAAGCAGGGAATGGTTGGCAACCAGGGATCCTGGGAAGCAGGGGATGCTCAGGAGCCTTCAGTGGGGCTGGTGACTCCTCAGCAAACAGGAATTGTCCTGTGGGAAGGGTTTTCCTGGACCACAGGTCACTTCCATACCAGTTTGGATGGGGCTTGGAGCACCCTGGTCTGCTGGAAGGTGTCCCTGCCCATGGACCAGGTGGTCTTCAAAGTCCCTTCCAGCCCAAACCCAGGGTTCTGTGATGTCTGTCCGGCTCCTTGTCTGCTTCACGTTCCTTTTGGGACTGTCTGGAGACGGCAGTCTTTGGGATCCTTGGGATCACTGCTGGAGCCCGTCTGGGAGCGCAGAAGGCAGCAGAAGCATTTGCAAACAGCCCTTCTCTCTCTTTTTTTGCTCCCTCAGGAGCCCAGATCTCGAGGATGGCGGGGAGGAGCGAGCTCCATCCGCAGCGCCCGGCTGGACACGCAGCCTGGAGCGGGGCTCGGTCTCCTCGGGGCTCTACAGCAGCGTCTCCTTCCTAAACCTGGATGTCGGCATCTAGCGAGCCCCAGGACACCTCCAGGCAGCTTTTCCTCCAGAACCCAGCCCCTGGCTGACCGTGGGGGCAGAGCTGCCCTCGGGGGTCCCCTGCCAGGCTGGCACCCCCCGGCAGGTCCAGCTGCTGCCACGCTCTGGGCACTGCCCTCCCCGGCCACCTCCTCCTCCTGGGAATGGATCTCCAGCCCTGGGCCTCGGGAATGGATCTCCAGCCCTGGGCCTCGGGAATGGATCTCCAGCCCTGGGCCTCGGGAATGGATCTCCAGCCCTGGGCCTCGGGAATGGATCTCCAGCCCTGGGCCTCGGGAATGGATCTCCAGCCCTGGCCCTGCAGGAACTGGAGCTTCCCCCTGGGGAGGACAGGCTGGGGGAGCTGGGACTGCTCAGCCTGGAGAAGAGACGGCTCACAGGGACCTTATCCATGGATCCAAGTGCTTCTGCAAGGGCCTGGCTGACAGGACACAGGGAATGGCTTCCCAGGGCCAGAGGGCACGGCTAGGTGGGATATTCAGAGGAATTCTTCCCTTTTGAGGGCACTGAGGCCCTGGCACAGGCAGGGACACCTCCCACTGCACCAGGCTGCTCCAAGCCCCGTCCAGCCTGGCCTGGAACACGTCCTGGGATGGGGCAGCCACAGCAGGGCACTCTGAGGGGAAAAAACCCAGTACTTCTGCAAACAGTATTCCATATTCCAGCACAGCCCTCACCCTGGTCTGGAGGCACCCAGACCTTCTCTGGTGCTCAGGGCTGGGCTCTGCTCCCTGCCCTGCGCTCGGGACGGGTGGGGAAGCGTTTCCCGTTGGAGCCTGTGCTGTGAGATAGCTGCTGAGACCCCGGCAGCTGATAAACTCCAGAGAGCAGCAGTGGAGTCTGGAGGAGCAGATAAACGTGGGACACCGTGGGGCTGGGGGGGTTCCAGAGGCCACCGGAACACTCGAGGTCAGCTGTGAAACCAGCGCTGCGTCCAGCCACTGCTCTGGGCGGGACTGCAGCTGCTGCAAGAGCAGCCCCAGCCTTTCCAATCCCTTCCTAGGGTGGAACAACACTGGCACGGGTCCCCAGAGCAGCTGGGGCTGCCCCTGGATCCCTGGAATGTCCCAGGCCAGGTTGGACAGGGTTTGGAGCAGCCTGGGACAGTGGGAGGTGTCCCTGCCATGGCTGGGATGGGATGGGATGGGATGGGATGGGATCCATGGGATGGGATGGGATGGGATGGGATAATGGGGGGGGGTAATGGGATGGGGTGATGGGATG